GGTCGCTAGGGCGGTTCTTTCCAAACACGCCTTTCCACTTTTCAACATATGCGATATGCGCATTGGAATCTTTATTAGAATTAGAAATTAGAATGATCAGTTCTGTTGCCTTCATTTTGTACAGGTCACCTTTTACTTCCTCCTGAGAAAACTCATTCCCCCTCTGAATTTGGTGCATAGGCTTGTAACAGTGTCAATGCTTTAGCCTGTTTTTTGCCTTCAGTAGGATGATTGTCGTTCTTCCTTCAGCTGGCTTTCATTCAGTTATTCTGTCATCCAGGTTTGGTTCTACCAGAGCACCAACACCGACTTGGGGTTTGTTGAGTTGACATCTGAGTGAAATGGCTTCCACCTCTAGTAGTTGAAAATTCCAGATTTATCGCTTCGTTGACTATAGCCTAACTATATCGAGTCGGTGAATTGCGGCCTCATCAGCTAGCTCCTGCTGTTTTTCTCTGAGTGAGGAGATGTTCCAACTGTAAACTCTTACGGTATTGTTCCAGTTCTACCGTATCTAACGCTATAATGGCATCCCCTGTCTGCCTCTTTCGTTGAGAGCTATTTGTAGATACGTTGCTGACTTGTTTTTCGTCATCTCTCGATCTTCGGCAGCCGTTGCGGTGCTGCTACACCTTAGCTACAAGAAGGCTTAAATAAAGCAGATTTTCATCACTGACTTTTCGCACTCTTTCTGTTCCTTAACAGCCTGTGCGACCCCAGGTAACCCGGGCGATGACCGAAGCTGTATAGCATTCGATAGCGGCAATTCCATGAGGAAGAGGTGGCTAAGGTTAATGGGAGACCTCCGTATTGCCCCAAACAATCGTTTATTCTTATCTGGGCTTGAGACCGGCAATGGTGGAGTTAGGAAACGAATTTAATAATGAATCTGATTTAAACATCGCTGGTGACTTAGTGGAATATGCAGGTATTTTATGTTAAGTTAAAATAAATATTTAATTATTTAAATAAATGGATGGGATCAGTATTAGTAATTTCTGGCTACCAAACAGATGCCTCTTCTCGTTTTGATTTCACAGTCATGCGGTAAAGTCTGGCCAAAACTAACGTGCAGCCAAACAGACCATAGTAATAATGAAGTGGCAGTATTAAAATATGTAACTAAATTCTTAATTAAAATTAGATTG